TATAGAGGAGAGTTAAATAAAAGAATAGTGGAAATGAAGGTAAGGAGGCTGTTAATCATTTAAAATATTTCAGTTACATGCGCATACAAATAATAATGTTATGTTTTCATGTCGATAACTAAGCAAAACTTCAGGCAAATTGAAAACAAAGATCAGACTTACAGTAGAAAGACACTAAAGTATTATAAATTTGTATCGAAGGGAATCTAAGCTGTTTTCATTTTGAAAGGTAAAGAAGAAATACTCCTTTCAAATTGTCTATAATATATATTTTCAATATATTCTTGCAATATAAGGACATAATTATCTCAAAATCGCAGTTAAATTGTATAATAAAGAACAATCATTTACTGCGTTTTTATTCAGAATTTGTAGCAGTGCAGCAACCTAAAAAACTTGTTATTTATCTCTTAAAGTTTCGTGGGATGAATTTGTATCATCAACGAGTTAAAGATGTATATATTTGGTACCTGTCCATGACAATATAAAAATAAGGAAATGTGGCATAATTGCAGATGAAAAAAAACTATCCACCAAAGATCAAATAAAAGTGGATGTAAGCAATTAGAGGAAACCGTGCGGCCTTCAACAATTAGAGAAACCCATACCGTATAGTCGGCTATAAAAGGTCCCGACATGAAAAATATGAAACATTTAAATTGTGAAATATAGCGGCCTAATTTAGAACAAAATATTTTTTTGCAAAAAACAAATATGACAGACACGAACCTAAGACAACCACTGAACTACAGGCTTCTGACTTTGGATAGGCACGTAAAGAATGTGACGGGGCTAAACTTGTTTGTGAGCGCTAAACCATCCTCTAACCTGGCACAGTGGTGTAACAGCACAACATAAGAACAACACAAGACACGTTTGGTAGAGCAGAAGAATGTAGACTTGTAGACTTTTCTACATAACCCATATATCGGTATATCGGAATGAGCAAAAAAAAAAAAAAAAGAACAAAACACAAAGCATCTGCGAAAATACTATTCGACATGCTAAAAACATTTCGCACGTACTAAATCATGTCGTCAAATTTTTAAAGTATAGCCATTTATGTATCGTCCTGAACATGCATGAAATATTTGCCACTGGACGTTAAGCAACCAACAATCAATCATTCGTTTATCTTGTTTGTTTATCATCAAACTACCCGATTACTAATGAGATGTGATTTATTTTATGATTGCAAATACCCGGCTGGGAATCACATCGAGAACACCAATTAAACGGACTTGGTCAATTTTAACACTATGCTGTGATTGGTGTTCTTTCTTTTACCCAAAGAAATTCTGTTCTTTATTTTTTACACGAGGAAATTCTAAAGAGAACATACTAGTATTTTTTAAGGATGTTCGCTACTCTGTTTGAAAATAACAAGCTTTTTAAAAGGCTGATTTAAATTGTTGTATATAAATAAAGAAACTAAAATAGCAGAAAAAGATGAAAGGTCCGTGTGCTTGTTTTCAAGATATAAGCCATTGAAAATTTGGCGGGAAATAATTCTCTCTAGATTGTTCATACATTTATCATTGGCACCTTTTTTCTTTCAAAAACGATGAAAAAATAACAAAGATTTTATAAGATTTTCAAAGATGACATTTCAAACTATACGTAATCAAATTTTGGAAAGAAAAGTAGGGGTTAATGGGCAAAAATTTTTAATGGCACTACATGGATAAAACCAGAGGATTCCGAACATCTGACAAAAATTCAAAAACCCAGAGGAGCGAACATCCTTAAATTGTTTATGCTGTTTTATTCCATAAGATCATAAAAGCGGGACCATTATTGTGAAGTAAAATTGCATCTCTTCATAAATAACTGATAGAATTTGTACTTTGCATTTTATATTTTTATCCACTTGTGTTGAAACTGTCAAATATTTTTTTTCTTTTACAAGCGTTTAACTTACAAGTGAAGAGATATGGTTTGATTACCAATGGAACAACAATCGGTCAAATAGACAAAGATGTAAATACATTGTAACTACAAATAAAATACGACCTTCAACAATGTGTAAAGTCCAAGAAATACAAATGAGATTCCAATGACCGGTATTAAACCGTCTAATCACTGTCTAACACGTTTGCATTGCTACATGGCGAAGCACAACAAATAGTCACCAGTATTATAATATATTAATTAATTTCCAGGCAAACATTTTTTCACTGCTAATCATAGCAACCATGATGTTCTCAGTTAAAATGGGATATGGCAATAATTGTCTCGATATGTGTGAGGAATCTCGCTGGGAATGTGAAAGCTACTGTAAAGGATTTCTCGACAAACCATGAAGAAAAGATTGTAAAGGAAATGAAGTGCGCTGTGAAACTTATTGTAATGGCAAACGAAATGCTGTATAGTTGGTCCTGAATAAAGATTGGTTGTTTAATATTTTTAAGTGAACGCCTGTCCCAAGTCCGGAGCCTCTGGCCTTTGTTAGTCTTGTATGTTTTTTTTAATTTTAGTTCATTTGTATGTTTTGGAGTTAAGTGTGACGTCCATTTTCACTGAACTAGTACACAATTTTATTTAGGGGCCAGCTGAGGACCACCACCGGGTGCGGGATTTTCTCGCTGCGTTGAAGACCCATTAGTGGCATTAGGCTGTTGTCTGCTCTTTGGTCGGGTTGTTGTCTCTTTGACATATTCCCTATTTCCATTCTCAATTTTATTTAAAACAATTTTATACGTGAATTAAAACCTTCTACATTTGTATTAGTATTTTGATTATATGTGTTTCTGTTAAAAATTTCAAATTTCATGCAGCATACACATTCCATTGGTATCACCCGCCTCTATTTTCCATCAACCATTGATGTCATGAAAGGTAAATATGTAAAAGGAGACCAAAGTGAAAAATTTTACCAGAGGAAATTAGCACAACGCAGGTACACTGTAATTATTCGTTCATGGTTGAATGATCACATGCAGCCTGCTCATGATAAGACTACTTTAAAATAAAAATGTTTCTCTTTCGTAGAAAATTGGTTTTTGGAAACAGTGTCAGTGTTCCATTAGTTGTTGATCATAAAAATAAGTTCGTCAAGAGTTCATGTTGTTCGTCATTGATTGACCTCTGACCTGCATGTTGTCGCAGCAAGACAACTCAGAACCCGTAAACAATAAACTGACCATTAATTGCGAATCGTTGAAAACTGTTTGAAAACTGTTAATCCCGGTAATTTTTCTAATCGATAATTTTGTTAGATAATAAGCAGTACTGTACTTTGTATTTATATCCAGTTTTTGGACTACTTTTAAATTGCCTTAAAATGCATAGTCTTTGACCGATGACTTGATACGTATTAAGCAGATTAGTTTAGGTCCTACCAGCGTAAAACATGTGCATTTTGACTATGTACATTCGCTGATTCGTGACGTTTTGTCATGTCTACCGAATGACATCAATCTTGTATGACTTTGGAGTTAACGGTGAGAAAGAGAAAAATAACGGTTTTTTTCACGGATGCAAGAGTGATATCCCATCACTAAGTTTTGATTTGTAATAAACAAAAACCCGGCCCCCCCCCCCCCCCCCCTCCTTCCCCCCACCCCCCAAAAAAAATAAAGCCCAACATGAACAAAAAATGCAATGAGGATTAAAGTGCTATGTAAAATGAAAATAATCTTTTTAAATTGTATGCGTTAGAAGCGCCTCTAGAATTAGCGTCATTAGACAAGATCAAAGCCGAATATCTTCAAGCCATGTATATTTTAAGAAAGGCAAATAATATTAAGTGACTTTTAAACTCATAAGTCGAAAATAGACTGACAACACCATGGCTAAAATAGAAAAAGACAAACAAACAAACAACAGTATACTAAACAACACAGAAGACTATCCAACACGAACCCACCAAAAATGGGGGTAAAAGCAGGTGCTTCGGAAGGGTAAGTCGATCCGACTTAAACATGCGGCATATGTTGTGTTGCTCATTTAAGTTAAAAAAGAAAACGGTGATATGTTTAATTCGGTAAGTCATATTCAGGGATGAGATTGTTGTTACGACAATCGGAACATATCCGTCGTCAAAGAAACGAAAAATATACAGAGCCATTTGTCTGATGCAGTTGAAACCTTTCACTATTTTAACATAAATGTCGACAATCATTTCTAATAACTTTAAACTTATATTTTTATTAACTAATCAAAACAACAGCATGTATGGCATTTTCACAAGTTATAAACACAAGCTTATTTGAAAATACATTTTTTTTTCTGGGAGAATCATTGCTAATAATATAATTCGTGAGCATGAACTATAACATCAAACAGAAATAAATATTTTAAAAGGGAATTGGCGTTATGTTCAACAGCTGAAATTTTTAATATTAGATAATTTAAGCAGCGATATTTACAAAAGCGTTTTTCTGACTATTCGTGGACTTAACACATTTAAAGTCCAGTTAAATCAAAATATCCAGACTAAACTGCAAAAATTACTCAAAATGGTCGAGTGTGTCCAAGTATACAGGCTGGAATCTGATTACTATGTCCAAGTGTTATTGCTAAAGAATGTACTATTCTTGTATGCCCAAAAGGAGGAATTTCATACTCAAGAATCGATTCTGAAAAAGTCAGCGATTCGAATTGTATGGTGTGGCCTAGATTAAATTCGTTTGTGATAAAACGGTCGGGCGTGTTCCATTGTAAAGTGCTTCCAAATCTGTAACACCGTAAATTCAGATCACCAACCATCGGATCATTAATGCTATGTGTATCATATGTATAACCACGTGCTTCCGGGATGTTGAAGTTGATTGGATATTCGTTTTGTGAAGTGATTCTTAATTTTGAAGAAGCGCGACAAAATGATTGCCCATTTTCATAATCCTTTTGCGTATCGATGGATTTAAATCTATCAATGAAATCAACACGACGTGAACCTTTCCCGTTGTAACGAACGTTGCAAGGGTTGTTAATTTCATTCATACGACAAGTATGCATGCATCTAATACTATCTTTTCTGTTTTTCTGTATTTCTTGCTTCATAACCCTAATTTGTTTTCTTCTTAGGAGATGACGATTCTTCTTTGTTATCCATTGGTGGTCCATTTTTGAAAACTTCCTGCTCTTTTTATTTTTAGTCTTAAAAAAGAAGAAAAAGAACTATTAACTATATATTTATATTTGAACTTATCTTCAGATGAAGATTTTATTGGTATACTATAATGATACACTTTATTTGATATCATTTTCACATAAGACAACAGATATGTTCCAATTATCGACATAACCATGCCGTACCCTTTTTCTCCGAAATTAACCGACATAATTTGAATTATCACAGGGTTTGTACTTACATGAACAACACGACGGGTGCACTACGTGGAGCAGGGTCTTCGTACCCTTCCGGAGCACCTGAGATTACACTAACTGTTTGGTTGGGTTCGTATTGCTCAGTCTTTAGTTTTTTTTGTTGTGTGTTATTTTCTGTTGTTTGTCTGTTTGTTTTTTTCTTGTTTTGCCATGGCGTTGTCAATTTATTTTCGACTTATGACTTTGATTGTAGTTATCAAAGGTACCAGGCTTATAATTTAAACGTCTCTCTGGTATTTTTTGCCTCATTTTTTACTAAAAGGGCATACGATACAGTTTTGATCCCATAATAAAATTTTGATGAAAATTTGTATATTGGCTATTTTTTACCTGATAAAATCAAATATGTAATAAAAAATATACCTTCATGTGCTACTTTTTGAGTAAATGAGGTCAAAATTTAAGATATTTGCTCAAAATTCAGATTTGTGGACGTATTTTTCCCTTTGACAGATATACATAACTTTTTGTTTTAAAAGATAATCACAAGCTGTTTTTTGATATTTTTTTTGTAATTTTATTTCATATATATGTCCTATAAATTTATGCATTTTATTTTTACAAATAAATCATAGTTATCAAATGTTCATGAATGTAGAAAAAAAAACGTAATTTTTTGCTGTATATTTATCAAATTTAAAAAAATTGCATTGTTTGCTTTTTCATGAAAATTGGTACACAAAATCTTCAAACGTTATCAAACCAAATGTCATTTGAAAAAATAGGGGTCCATGAACTCGTTTTCAAGTTAAATCAGTTTGAACGATAAAAATCAGTTGAAAATGCATCTTTTCCCGATATGTCACAGTTTGACGTCGCGAAAATAACATTTTACGTTAGCAACGTCATTACCTTCCCTGTAACTGTATCGTACACCCTTAACCCTCTTGCTGCCGGAGGGACACATGTGTCCACAACGACTGTGCCGGAGGGACACATATGTCCATGTTTTAATTTATGCAAGCTTCACCCCATTGCTGTATCTCTTTCAAATAAAAGACCAAAGATTAAACAGTGTTATATTGTTCTTCAATGGGTCCCAAATGTAACGGTCATTATGGCGTGACGTCATATATCGAATGACGTCATTTTTGGGCATCTGACGTCACAGACGTCGAGCTGTCATATTTTCTGGCATACGAAATGCAACCTCGAAAAACTCCTGGCAGCAAGAGGGTTAAGATGTGAGAAAACGTTCATATCGTTTGTGTTTTTGTTTTAGCTTACAGAGTAACATAGTGGTTGTGCCATATGCATTTTGACAGGAACTGAATATCCTTCCTTATTCAGAAGTCATTTTTTTGTTGTTGTATTTTTTGCCTTCTTAATATCATTCATCTGTATAACTAAATACAAAAAAAATATATTAATACTGTTCAGAAACGTGGCAAATCCCCAAACATGTCAAATGACGACACTGTATAAAAATCTGTTTATTGTTTCTAGAAGAGACTTCAACTATATAACAAAACGTTATGGTAAACGATAACGCTAGTTTCTTTTCATCCTGCCTACAAATATCATGATGTATGAAGTTAATCTTATATGAACATATGAACTCAGCAAGAATAGAAACACTGTTGATTACCATGTTAATGTTGATTGGTTGTTGAAAAACACTAAACGTATTAAATCTGTTGTCAATCAAGAAACCAAGCATCTTGGCAAATCTAGTTTCAGATATATTTTGTGTTAATCAGAGTGATTTAATTTTACAAAATACGACTCAACTCTGCTTAAAAAAAGATACTTGTATCTACGTCTGCCATTTTTTTAAATGCTTTTAGTTTGGAATGAAACCTAGTTGTCGTGAGTAGAGGTTAAAAATAAAAAAGAGAAGGAAGATTCAATTGTTTATCTTTTGGTGAAATTGCAAAGAAAAAAATAAACTGACAACGCTATGGCAAAATTAGAAAAAAAAACATACGACAAACACCGGTATACGAAAGACAACGATATGTGACGACTGTACATCAAGATCCCCTCCACCCTCCCCAAAAAAAAAATCAAAAAAATTAAAAAAAACAAACAAACAAAAAATCAGGTGTTGATCTCAGTTGCTCCGGAAAAGTAAGGAAATCCGGCCTCACACATGAAATCTGTCGTGATGCTCATTTTACAATTACCCTGGTGATAATTCGGTAGTTGGCGTTTGTGGGAAAAAGACCAGGTTGTGGTTACGACAATCTGAACATATTCAATAACGGTCAAACAACTCTAATCCAAGTTTACCGTTTTAGTCAAATATATATATATATTCCTTCGCTTGTTGGTGTATATCATATTTGTTTTTGTTTATTGTTTGGAAAATAAATCAGGCTGTTAGGCTTCTCGTTTGAATTGTTTTACATTTGTCATTTCAGGACCTTATATAGCTTCTTACGCTGTATGGGTTATGGTCATTGATGAGGACCGTGAGATCACTATCATTTGTTAAATCCTACGTCATTTGGTCTCAGATAGAGAGTTGTTTCATTGGAAATCATACCAAATCTTATATTTATGTTTATATCTGATATGATTGTTCAATTGTATGAAAACATAATTCCACCATTACGATGTAAATCACAATATTGTGAGATTCCTATTGATTAACGCATACATGTATATAACCTATAAATTAATCGAAAAATAAACCTAATCAAGTCGGAATTGCCTTACATTAATTCAACAACGAACTACGAAAGATTTCAATGTAGACATTATACTATATATGTCAAGAGGGGATCAACCGACCAGGGACATGCTTGCCAGCTTTATAGGTACAGTTCCATAAAACTGTCATCTGTATCAACTCTTCGGATAATATTGTCAAACTGCTCTGCAAAATGGCTGAATGTTTGAAAAAAGATTACCTTTATTGGTAGTTGTTTTCGTCCATTCACTGAAAATCGGTTTGTCAAATCGTTAATTCCATTACGTTTTCTCTTCTTTTGATCTTTAGTCGATGGTACATCTTCAGATGGAAAAGCCTATGGAAAGCCATAATAACATTAGAAACGTTAACAGTCGCATACTGTATTAACATATTCTTTTTTCTACTACAATATATGCACATAGGTTTGATAATACAGGTACACCGATGTAAATGTAATCTTTTTTACACTATACCTTGTAATTACAACATCAACGGAATCAAATTATAAACATCAGATTTCGACAACAAATGTCTTTTAAATGATTCCGAGGTTAATATATTTGAATATCCAAAGCTTATTCAAACTGAAGAGATTATAAACCAAAAATGGCAAGGTCACCGATACCATAAGTTGAATACAAACATTAAAAAAAACCCAGACATACACAATCAAAGCCAAATGAAAACACATAAGTTATAAAAAAAATCAGGAAGTGAACTCAGGTTCAAAAGACGATTGAATTGTTATTGTTGTAAATTGTAGTAGTAAACTATAGTTCCTGAAGCATACAAGAACTACCCTTATACATAAATAAATACCCGGTATGTGAGAGTTATGTCAATATGATTAAGAAAGACTGATGCGCTGGTATATTCCTTCGTTCTGATAACACAATATATATGAAAAGTAATGAATGTTTTTATGAGGAACACTTAAAATTACAAAAACTATGTTACAAATAAGTTGAAAACAACGTGCAGTGAAAAGTAAAATTGAATTTCCACATTAAGTAATAATTAAAACACCCTTCATATTAGAATATGGTAGGATCTGTATCATTGACCAAAATTAACTTATCAATATGTTTGTTAACATTTATGTGCGGAAATTTTCTAAGACAGATCGCTTCTATGATTGGTAAGATGTTACTTTTCATTTGACGATAATGAAGTGAATTTATACTTTATTAACAAATAATCCACACTCAACCAGTCTCTTGAACAACTTTAGATAGTATGGCGTCGGTAAAAGTGGCAAGTCAGATGAAGAAATGTATGGGGCGTACGTCAATGAATGTAAACCAGGGGAATACATCATAACATTTTTGCGGCACTAAGAATTCAGCAAATGTTTGTGGAAGCGGGGCGAAAGATACCAATTTACAAATCGAAAATAACGCCATGGCTTAGAAATAAAAAGATAAACAGACAAAAAAAAGTACAGAAAACACAACATAGACAAAAAAAGACAAAGCAACACGAAACCCTCCAAAAACTGGGAGTGATCTCAGGTCATCCGAAAGGGTAAGCAGATCCTGCTCCACATGTTGCACCCGTGAAGTTTAACAAGCTCTTTACTAGCTAGCGTATACACATGTTGAATGATTAAATCACATCTCATGATGATTCATATATAGGAAAGAAACATGCAATAGCGCATTATTGAATATTGCTAATACAAAACTTGATCACTCTTCACTATTCATAATCAAGAGGTATATGCAAATTGTGTAACCTTATAATTGACCAGACGTAAAAATTAATACACGAGTTTTCAGAGCAGCACTTGTTGGTAGGAACAGTGCATGTACAATATAAGTAATACTAGCCCCTAAAATTCTTAAGTGTATTAAAATTTTACTATAGTATAAGAAATTTTAATACATTGGAAAATTATGATAAATTTCGACACTTTAATATTTAAAAATGCTGTATCATGATTGATCGCAGTTACCGTAAGTAAATATACATATTCACAATGTGACCGGGATTTAAACTGATAACAAAAAGAACTTTGTACCCTGCATTTTAAATCTTTTTGGTGTAAATTAATACCTGTCTAAGTAAGTATATATGGTAAATAAGGTTGACAAGTTTTCTAAAACGGGTATATACGTAAATGATTAATTAGTTTGTGTTGGGTAGATATATTTAACACACAAAAAAAATTTCATATTTTACTGCGCATGAAGGTAAGCATTTATGTTTTGATAGGAAAAATGATATCAGAAAGAAATATCTTGAATTGTATTTACTTGAGACAAAAACATATATATTTTATTCTGATTTGTCATGGTATGACGGATTCAATTTATTTTCAACTTATTACAGTAAAAGTAAAACTTTAATGACTTCTTTAATTCTGATATTACGGATCTTTTTATGTTTAAATTCAATACAAAACTGTATAACGAAAACAAGCTTATGGAATAATTACATAGTTTTCAAGAACATTTTTTTAAATAAGGATTTTTTTGTTAAAATTTCTGTTTATTAACAATTGCTTTAAAACATCTATATAAGCAAAAACTTAGATGTTAAAATGTTTAGATAAATATTTAGACTGTTCTTAATGTATCATTCCAAACATGAACATCGTTGTCCCCCTTCACTGACTTCCCCCTCCCTTAAAAAAAGTAAAATAACCACAAAAAAAAAAAAAAACCAAAAAAAAACCAAACGTTTAAACAAGAAATAAAAACTATATTTTCGGAAATGTTTTTTTTCAACTTTTGTGATAAAGAAGGAGTAGCAGAACACATTTTTATAGTTATTTCAAAGATCTTTTGTTGTAAACAGAAAATTACTTTTTATGGGTTTTGGGAAATAAACAGACTGAGTCATACGTTTGTACTTGGAACTTTTCCAAAATGTTCACCTTTTCGTTAAAGACTACGTCATAATATTTAAAAACATAAAATATTTAAGTGCGTGATGACTACTTTATTTAAAAGAAAGTCAATGTTGATAGTAGATATGATTATTTATATAGATATGCTGAATGGTAATATGTATATATATATATATATATATTTATATATATCTATTTATATGAAGGAAATATAAGTTTCAATAAAAAAAAAGTTCAATCTTTTAAATGTGGATCAGTTTAATAAGTGAACAAAAGTGACGTACTCAGTTACTTCAAAATATTACTTTAAGATGTAAATGGTTGGTATAAAGATATCAATATGTGTATCAAACTGCGCATGTACCTTCTAAAATAAACGACAAAAATCGACCACTGCGCATGTCTCTTCTAAAATTAAACGAACAAATCGAAACTAATTTTGCCCATGTCTGCTACTGGAATATGAAAAAAATATTTTCAATGATGATTGTTTTTCATGTTTATTGAGTTAGTATCTAAAAAATATGAACAAAAACACTATATCATTCTCTGAACTTTTTGAATTTATTTAACTGTATTGTTCTCTTCCTCTTAGTTGCAGTATCGAAAGATAAAAAAAACAAAACAAAACAAGCTACAACGAGTTTAAAAATAAATTGAAAGATATAAAAACGCACGATGAATGTCGAGGTGCATATTCTAATGAACACTTACTGACTATAAAACAACTTTTTAACGGTGTTCTTATTGAATTATCTGTTTAAAAAATGGCGACCAATTTCAATTTCTAATAATATCACTACTTTCGAAATGATCACCACAAGTTCCGAAAGAATTTTATTGCAGAAAATGTCACAATATATAACAAGTTTTGCAAATTATATTGTTTTTTTGTGTTATCTATTGTTGAATACTTACCATTGTCTAGGATACCATCAGACAATCGACGTGTATATGCTATTCGTGGTCATCAATCGTCATCCGGGTTAGATAATTCCTTTGAAAAAGGGGCGTATCAAACAATTCCTTTCTGAATAAATTGGTTATTATATCCAGACTTATCAACTGACTATCCATCTATACTTGTACCACCAAAAAAATATGCAAGAGTTCTTTTCATTGATTTATTTTAAAAGTTACATTGGTTATGTATTACTACGCTAATATTTACGCAATAGAGCAAATAGGATGATGCTGTAATATTGAAAATGATTAAAACTCAATATCAATTTTTCAGATACAATTTGTATAAAACATTAGTATTTTAACAAATGCAGATACTCCAAAATCTTTCACAGTTATGAAATGTGAATTTTAACAGCTTAAATTTATCGATTTGGTCTAAGCTCTGTTCGTCCTCTTCCTAGAGAAGATTGTGAAGCCAATTGTTAAATTTCCGCAGTTGAGATGAGGGTGTTTACCTTAGTTTTACATGTACATTTCGAAGTTTATTACAAATGCTTGATTATGCTGCTTAAATATTGTAAATCAACATCTCTACATTATCGTGCTTGAGAAAAAACAGCAATGTCTTAAATGAATTGGATAATGCCTTCTAAAAGGATTACTCGAGTCCAATCGTAATTGACTAGGATTGTCAGTTTTCCTATCGAAGGTCGGTGGTTTTCTCCTGGAACTCCGGCTTCCTCCACCAATAAAAACTGGCCGCCACGAAATAGCCTAAATGCCGTTCTTTAAAATGGTGTTAAAACACAACAAAATAAAATCAAATCTAAAAGGATTATAAGTGTTAATTTTAAGTAGCCAGCGATATTGATATGTTAGGCAATTGTCGGTCTATTTAATAAATTCACATATGAAACACTTGTTCAAAAATCGAAACACTTTTAAACATGACTTTCTTTTTAACTTGCACCCTGCAATACAAGTAAGTATACAGTTTTTCACACTTAAAATATCCAAAGTGTTTGTCAATCACGTATATAGGTTTCTCAAAGAAGAAAAAAGACATCAAAACGTGTCAACAATATTCTCTAAGAAGACATAAAATATGAACTTAATTATGTTAAAGCTTCACCTTAAGGAAAGCCTTTTTAATGCATCAAAAGAATTGCTGAATGTGCTGCATGTTGTTAATTTTTGTTCACAAAATTAACCGCTTTATGTTACTAATTGAATGCACAATCTTTATTTTATAGATTTTTTGCCAGTTAATATTTGAGGGTTAAATTTTTTTCAAATGATTTTGCCATCTGAAAAAGGTAACATAACAATTGTGATAATATTAGTTAAGGCGATAATGAATTGTTTAATTTCGAACTCATAATTATTTTTTGGTTTTTATTTGTGTTTTAACTTTTCTATTGAAAATCGGGAAAAATTCATTGGACGCACGAAATTTATCAATTTTTGTTTTCATTGAAACTTTTTGTCAATTACTTTGTCATACACATACTTTATTAAATATTAATGTTTGATACCTGAATTTGTCATAATCGATTATCATAATTAACTGCAATTTTATATTTCCTACATTCATACAATCAAATAGAAAATGCATAGTAGAAATTAATAAACAAAATTTTGATTCAACAATATCAAATTTAAAAATTACAACTCATTACTTTTACTCACTCTCTGTTTAAGTTTTGAGCAAATATTCACCCTTTCCTTTCTTTTGTTCTGTACCTATTACGACTGTAACTTACTACCAATATTACTATAAACAGAAAAAGGCTAAGAAAATGAAATTGTTGTCATATGTTTAAAAGTCATGTATATACGTTTTTGTTTTATAACAGTATTTTTTTGTGAATATTTATATACTTATATAAAGAGCATCAAAAGATTTCTATCATGAATATTTTTTAATGGATAACTGACGATTTATATTTTGTCATAGTTTGAAGTTGGATTCAATTTAATAACATGGAATAAGTGACACGACAACATTGTTGATCACACAAAAATCGAAACATGTAACTTCTTATTGATTTTCTTTTAAATAATTTTTTTTGGAAAAATATTAACAACAGAATGCTACAAAACTATATTAGATGTTTTTTGAATAATTGCATTTACTGAATCATTACAAAATTCATGAACTGAAGTACAACCATGCAATTATAATTATGTAATTATGTGTTAAATATAAAATACATGACTTTTTGTGTTTGATACTGACTTTGTCAAGATAAAATATCAGGTGTTGGATAAAGAAAAAGTAAAAATAAAAATATCAAATGAGCCCGAAGGAACAAACAGTACTTTATTCTTATGGTTGCTAATTATGAAAAATTGAAATTGCCTTTTGATTAATAATTATGATAATATTGAAAATATCAAACCACACTTGACACCACAGGCTACGTCATTCTCTTGAACAAGGTACAAATGAATTATTGCATACGTTTCATTATTTTAGCTTTGAACATGCATACAACTATACAGAATATAATGGTAACAAACCGGTAGGTAAATTTTTCTTTATCTTACACAAATATAAAAAAGAAGATGTGGAATAATTGCCAATGAGACAACTCTCCACGAGAGAACAACTGACACAGAAATAAACAACTATAGGTCACTGTACGGCCTTCAACAATGAGCAAAGCCATACCGCATAGTCAGCTATAAAAGGCACCGAAACGACAAGTATAAAACAATTCAAACGAGAAAACTAACGGCCTTATTTATGTACAAAAAATGAACGAAAAACAAATATGAAACACATCAACAAACGACAACCACTTAATTACAGGCTCCTGACTTGGGACAGGCACATACATGTTAGCGGGATCCCAACCCTCCCCCTTACCTAAGACAGTGGTGTAACAGTACAACATAAAAATGAACTATAAAAATAAGTTGAAAAAGTCTTAATCATCAGATGGATACAAATAGAAAACTACACAGAGTGGAACATCTTTTACTTTATACTTGCTTATCATTAGTCCAAATAATTATGAGACCTTGTAAGGTTATTCTATGGTTTTGCAGTCACGTTGTAATTGTTTGAACTAGCTTATCATCGGATAGAAGACGATCAGATTTATATTTTTAGGAAAGCAATGTGTAAGAAGACACTTTAATTTTGTTTTAAGTGTTGGCACGGAGTCTGTAGGCTGACTGTTTTTTCTATCAATTCTATTTTCCAAATTTTTTTATTAAACTTTGGTATACTTATTTTTGCTCTTCGTGTTATTTTTCAAAGTCGTGTCATTTATTTTTCACAATTTGGACCAAAAATATGAATCGTAAAGTGACCTGTTTTTGCTATCTATAAATTGCCAATGAAACCACAACTCCTTGATTGTATGATTGTCCAATAAAAAATGTCGGAAGTGTGTATATTTTTTTCAGCTTCTTTCATACGAAAGCGGTACCTTTTTGTTCACTATTTATGTGTTGCGTCTAAATATAAATTGTAACACTTAATAGTGACTAAACAGGTTGAACAAATTCTTCTGAAGGAACAGAAAAGGAGACAGATTGGAACAGCACTACACTGTTTAACAGTCCTGCTTATACATGAAAACTCTGTCTATGGTCGGAACAGAAAGGTGAGCTAAAATGATAGTTAATAATGCGGATATCGCAATTATTTAAATTTTATAGGGTTTTCGTACATTTGCTGTTTAAATTTTCACACAATTTTGACAAAATCGTTGAAAGACCTAAACTCACTTTTCAGAATTAAAATGATCATCGTGTCATAGACCAAAAAACTGGTGCATTTCTGCTAAATAAAATACAATGTAACGCTCGATTTTGTGAATGAAAGGAAAGTATATTCTTACTCGGTTTACTCGTGCATGTCAATTGCGAACTGACCCAATAACTTTTTTTATCATGACCATTTTACTGATACTGACATAATCCGCCAGGACACATCAAAGAAAAATGTACAAATTAAAAATACAGTATGTATTATTGAGCCAACATGAACAATTCAATTCTGATGGTATCTTTTCAAAATAAATCAACCTTGTCATTATTTTGAAGATAGAAAATATATTAATCTGAATAGACGAACATTTCAAACAACTTTTTAATTGTTCATAACTCTATAATTATATATCAAAAAAACTATTTATCTCTACCTAAAGGACATATTCAGAAAGACAAGTTATGCACTAAAACTACGGTATCAATATGTTCGAAATGCTGAACAAGAAATCAATACCATTTATAAAGAAATGTTTTGAAGAAAATGTGATTTAACCATAGAGACACCATGCTAAAAATCGTTTTGGGGTCCTATATAGCTTGCTGTTCGGTGTGAACAATAGACCCATGTTGAAGGCCGTACTGCATGTATATTGTGACGTATAATTGTTTCTTTTTTACAGATTGTGAATTATATGGATAGTTGTCTCATTGCCACTCATATCATATCTTCTTATTTCTATTTAATTATAAATAATATCTTAAGTTGATAATGTAAGAGCCTAATATTGATTTAGAAGAATAGTCTACATGATGTTATATTGTAAATCAGTGTAGAACCTGCACCTTTATCTTTCATGACTGAATTGTTTGTATTACTTTCTAAAAAATTACGAGAGACAATGTGGACTTTTCAGGAAAAATGTTTTGAAGTTAAAGACGCATTTGATTAACTTTATAACTTAAGATAATATTACTATAATGTTAACATGGTCTTTTTTATTGTCAACCATTCATTACCATTTGTTTTTCGAGTCAACATTGTAAGAAGCACACATTTGATAATGTATGTCACACAGTTTCTACTAGTTTTCCGTTAATAAACATTTAACAAAGGAAACAAACACAACATGCCCCACAACAAAACAGGCACTGATTTCATAGAACATACTATGGATATTGATGAAAGGAGATTTTTCGTATTCACCGTTCTAAAAACACCACAGTATCGTGTCTGTATTCAATTTCGGAACCGCTTCATCACCCTGAGTCCCGAATAGAAAAATGTATAAAATACAACAAACCATCAAATATTTGCCTTTTAAACCTTATTCCTTAACTGAAAGACCTTTTATGATACCAAAA